TTTTAATGTTTATTAAAAAAATTTTTGATTTCCAAATTTTCTCCCTCCTTACCTTTGCTCCCCCTTTCTCCTCCCTGAGACGGTAAGTAATTTGATATAGGTTATACGTGTTCAGTCATGCAGAATATATTACCATGTTAGTCATGTTGTGAAAGAAGAGATAGACCCAAAGGGGGAAAAAATGAAAAAAAAAAAAAGAAAGTGGAAAATAGTATGCTTCAGTATTTTTCAGACTCCATCAGTTGTTTTTCTGGAGGCAGATAGCGTTTTTCATCATGAGTCCTTTGGAATTGTCTTGGATTATTGTATTGCTGAGAATAGCTAAGTCATTCAGAATTGATCATCATACAGTATTACTGTTGCTGTGTACAATGTTCCCCTTGTTCTGCTTACTTTGCTTTGCATCAGTTTATGTAAATCTTTCATGTTTTTCTGAAATCAACCTGCTTATCATTTCTTATAGCACAGTAGTATTTCCACTACAATCATATACTATAATTTGTGGTGGCTGACCATTTCACAGTTGATGGACATCTCCTCAATTTCCAATTCTTTGCCACTACAAAAAGAGTTGCTGCAAATATTTTTGTTCAATTGGGTCCTTTCCCTCCCCCCCTTAAAAAAAAATCTCTTTGTATGTAGACCTGGTAGTGGTATTGCTGGATCAAAGAGTATGCACAGTTTACTAGCTTTTTGGGCATAGTTCCATATTCCTTTGCAGAGTAGTTGGAGCAGTTTACAACTCCACCAGCAGTGCATAAATGTCCCAATTTCCCCACATTCCCTTCAGCATTGATCATTTTCCTTTTCTGTCATATTAGCTAATCTGATAGATATGAGGTGGTGCCTCAGAATTGTTTTAATTTGCAGTTCTCTAATCAGTAGTGATTTAAAGCATTTACTTTTTTTAACTTTTTTATTTTTTTATTAATTTATTTTGATTTATCAATAATCACTTCCATATGCTTTTGAATTTAAAATTTTTCTCCCGCTTCCTCCCCACTACCCTCCTGAAGACGGCGCACAATCTGATATAGGCTATACATTTACATTCATATTAAACATATTTTCACATTAGTGATGCTGTAAGTAGAACTTAAAACCAATAGGAGGAACCATCAGAAAGAGGAAACAAAACTCAACAGAAGAGAAAAAAAATAACAATTCGGCTTCCATAGTTCTTTCTTTGGATGTGGATAGCATTTTCCATCACAAGGCCTCTGGAGATATCTTAGATCCTTTTATTGCCAGGAAGCGTTAAATTTATCAATATTAGTCATCACACAACATGGCTGTTATTGTTTACAGTGTTCTCTTGGTTCTGCTCACTTCACTCAGCATCAGACCATTCAAGTCTTTCCAGGTTTTTCTGAAGTCAGCCTGTTCATCATTTCTTATGGCACCATAGTATTCCATTACATTCATATACCACAACTTGCTCAGCCATTCCCCAATTGATGGGCGTCCTCTCAATTTCCAATTCTTTGCCACCACAAAAAGAGCTGCTGTGAATATTTTTGTACATGTAGGTCCTTTTCCCATTTGTGTGATCTCTTTGGGATACAGACCTAGAAGTGGTATTGCTGGGTCATAGGGTATGCACATTTTTATAGCCCTTTGGGCATAGTTTCAAATTGTAGAGCATTTTTTATGTGACTATAAGATAGCTTTGATTTCTTCATCTGAAAATTGCCTGTTCGTATCCTTTGACCATCAAATATGACTTTTGATACTTGCTAACTGTGACCAAGTCACTTAATTTCTGTGTACTTCAGTCAATTTCCTCAGTCTAATCTAAATGTCATAGGTAGATTGCAGTCTGTGTTGGTGGAGGGAGTTTTTATACCAAGGGCTTCGAGTTTAGGAATAACACATCCTTTCAACAAAATTTTCATACAAATTAATATAACATTATTTAAAATATGAATGAGGTGATGTTAGCCTGGCGTAGCCCTAAATTCTTCTGTGTGAAAGTGAATCATTAATCTTCTGTTGGTTCATGTTATAGATTTTCCTGTCTCCAGGTTCAGCTGGGGTACTTACATAAATACATTTTGGAACCAAATGGGGCTTGGCCTGGGGCAGGGCAAGGGATAAAATGATGGTATCAGGTCAACAGACAGCTGTGCTTTCTAGTTTTTGACCTTATCATGCCTCTGTTTAGTTTGAATTGCTCTCTGCAGAGATGAGTTTGTAGCTGCTGTGGCTACAAAGCAATTCTTTGGTTCTATGCTTTCAAAAACTTGAGGAGTAGAGAAATATCAAGTATGGGGATGGGAGAATGTAAGCTCCTTGAAGGCAGGGATGATTACCTTTTTTGTCTTTGTAGCCCCACCACCTAGTACTATGCTTTGCACACAGGAAGCATTTCAATATGTATTGAATTTCTTTTTTGTTTGTTTGTTTGTTTTTTTGGCTACGCAATGGGGGTAAGTGACTTGCTCAGGATCACACAGCTAGTAAGTGTTATGTGTCTGAGGTCAGATTTGAACTCAGGTCCTCCTGAATCCAGAGCTAGTGCTCTATCCATTGCGCCACCTCGTTGCCCCTATGTATTGAATTTCTTAAAGGACATTTGGGTTGGGGGGAGAGGAGTTTTCTTCTAGGCCAGACCTGCACAACTTGGCAGTAGGTAGGGGCCAAAATTAAAATAGGTTGAACTTCTTTGAGCCATAGATAGGTTTTTAGCTCACTTTTCAAGTAAAGGTATAATTAATAATTAAACTATTTTGCAAATAAACCATGTTAAAAAAAAGGACATTTCAATGCATATCAATTAATTACCCTTATTACTTAAGATTTTTATCATGAAATCACATTAATGTCAAAAAAAAATTACTTTGCTGCTCTCACTTTGTCCCTGTTAAACACCAGTAAGGATGGAAAACAATGAAAAGATACAACTCTCCTTCTCAGACTATACAGAGGCTGACGATGATTGGTTGCTGCGAATCACGTGACAAACAGGAGAGAGTGCGCAGTGGCAACCACCTACCAAGTTACATGATGGGCACAGTAGTGACTAGTGGAAGGCAGGTTAAGCAGGGCACAGACAAAGCACTTGTTACATCTTTACTTTCTTTGACATTCTCTACATTTTTTTCGGGCTCCAGGAAATCCTTTGGCAGGCTGCAAGTGGCCCAGGGCCATGGGTTGGGCAGGCCTGTTCTAGGCAGTGAGGAAGGGCATTGTGAGGAAAGAGAAGTTAGTAATACTAGTGAGAGAGGAGAAAGGAACGGAGACCACCAATTGGAGAAAAAGCCATGGGGTTTAGAGTACTGATAGAGGAAGGAGAGTAGCCTTCTGAGTTAAGAGGGCCACGTTTTCATATCATCAAGTTCATTTGGGCCATTGAGAAAAAAACCCAGTTATACACCGACATTTGAAGATATGAGGTCTCAGAAGTTAGTTATTGTACAGGTTGGTCAAAAAGGTGAAATGTTCTAATTCTACACCAAAAGAAAGTAAAGTGTTATTGGGAAATTTAAGTTATACTTCATTTGCACAACACTCACTGTTCCCTGTCATTAAAATGAATAATGGTGTAGTATATGCAGCAAGATGCCTGCAGGATATTTTTTTGTTTGAACTTAGCTTCCTTTTTAGTAGCAGTTCAGACATGTCACTAATAAATATTCGGCTTGGGAATATCAGATGGTCCCAGGGCAATATCTGAAGGAGGTTTTTAACTGAGACTTGAAGAGCTTGTCCTTCTGACCATGGGCCATTACCATTCTGTGTCGTCATTTCTAATTGAATGGGGCTTTGTTTTCTACAGAGAAAAATCTGTTATACATGCCTTATTTTACACTTTGGTTATTGTTCAGTTGATTTTTAAATGGTTCTGTATTTAGTGGCTGAAGCAAATAGCTCCATTTTGCAAAAGTGAATATTCTTGACTCAGCATGGCATAGTGGATAAAGGACTTAGAATTGGGCAGACCTGGGTTCAAATTCCTGTATCTTATATTTACTGGTTACTCTGTAACCATGGGGAAGTCATTTAATTTCTTCAAGCCTCAGACAACTCTTTAAGACCAGAGATAGCAGAGTATAGTGGTTAGGACACAGAACTTGATTTCAGTAAGACTGGGGTTCAAATCCTACGGCATATGCCTAATGAGGACACTAGCTCAGTGACCCTGGGCAAGTCACTTTACCTACTCTGTGCCTCAGTTTTTTCATGTTTAAAATGAGGGGGTTGGACTCCATGGCCTCTAAAGCCCCTTCTAGCCCTTAATCTCCAATCCTATGAGTTATAGGAGGGCTAGTATCTGGGGCAAGAGTTCCTACTTCGACAAAATCAAGGTCCTTTGCATGTTGAGGCTTTCTTTATTCATAGCCAAACTGTGGGGCAGCTAGGTGGGGTAGTGGGTAGAGTGCAGGGCCTGGAGTCAGGAAAACTCTTCTTCCTGAGTTTAAATTCAGCCTCAGGCACTTAGTAGCTGTGTGACCCTGTACAAATTGCTTAACCCTGTTTGCCTCAGTTTCCTCATTTGTAAAATGAGAAGGAAATGGCAAGAAAGCCCCAAATGGGGTCATGAAGAGTTGGAAACAACTGAACAACAACAAAGGCAAAATATAAATGTTAAAGAACTACTGGCATTTTTTTGGTGTGTTTTTAGTAAGTCTAGAACATGAATACTTCATAGTATCAATCAAGAAGCATTCATTAAATATCTGCTATGTCAGTCAGTTGATAAACATTTATTAAGCATCTTCTACGTGCTAGTCACGGCACTTAGCATTAGAGATGAAAAGAAAGGTGAAAGGCAGCCTGTGTGGTCAAAGAGGTCACAGTGTAATGGGGGAGACAGTGTGCAAACAATAATGTACAAACAAGCCACATAAAGGATAAACTGGAAGTGTTTAGCTATGTGCCAGGCATTTGCAGTTATGTTCAGATTGTCATCTAGTGATTTAAGAATAATGATTGGTAGTAAGGAAAATTGGAATATGTGCAATGAAATAACTGGTTCACATTTCTTTTATGTTGAACAGGAAAAAAACATATGTGAAGATCCCGTAACCAGTAAGGGACTATTGGAATTGAGAAGGGTTTTGAAAGTGATTTCAGCAGTGCCCAGAGCTTTGAATCCTCACATCAAGGAGTTTATACATACAACTTTGTCCTTGCAAGTGGTGCAGGTAAAAGTATAATTTGTTTGGTTGTGGGGGAGTTTAGTAGAAGTATAATTCTATTGAAATGTTTTATTATCCTCTTCCTTCTCTGTAAATTTTGTCACAGTTTTCTTAACAGTAAAAGGAGATAATAACATAACCTGCCTCCCAGGGTAGTTGTGAGGCTCAAAGGAAATAATATTTGTAAAACGCTTAGCGTAGTATCTGACACATAGTAGGCACAATATTAATGCTAGCTATTATTAAATCCAGGGGAGATCATAATCTCTCCTGTCCTGAGGAGCCTTTTAAATAGTTGGGCATTTGTTATTTAGAAAGTGGGTTTAAGTGACTGTTTTCCTTCAGGGACCTTGTCAAGAACATGGTAGATGTAAAGTAAACTGGAGGGTCCAGTGTTCTAATCCCAGATCTACAAGTAGTCACTTTATTTTAACATATACCAGTTACTTTCTCTTTCTTGATTTGTTTCTTCACCTGTAAGACCGTGATTATAAAATCAAAGATGTTATGTTAAGAATAATTAATAGCTGAAATTTCTTTGAGAAATTAGATTTGGGTTTAAATAAACATGTGAATAGTTAAAAAAATATTGATTTTCTATTTCATGAGTTAGAGGAATAAGGAAGACTCATCTTCATGAGTTCAAATCTAGCTTCAGACACTTACTTGCTATGTGACCCTGGGCAAGTCACTTAACCCTGTTTGCCTTAGTTCCACACTTGCAAAATAGCTGGAAAAGGAAATGGCAAACCGCTCTAGTATCTTTGCCAAAAAACCTAAAAAAATCAAAATGGAGTCATAAAGAGTCAGACATAACTGAAAGGAATGAACAATTCCAATTTTAAAACGAAAGCCATCTCTCACTTGCTTTAAAAGCCACACATTCATTCAAACATTTATGAAGCATCTATTATGTGCAATGCATTGTACTATCACGTCATCTCACCTCACTTCACTTCATTTCCCTGCCCTCAGTGAGTTTCTATTCTACTGAGGGGATACAACATATGTACAAATAATTATAGTAGAAAAAAAAATAGAAGGGGCAACAAGAGACCCAACCTTGGTGAGATAATAGGTACACATGCAAGGAAGTGAGTAGAGACATAAATGATTCACCTCACCTTACTTCACTTCACTTCACTTCCGCAGAGGTGTGGGCAGCTAGATGGCACAGTGCATCGTCTACCAGCCTTGGAGTCTGGAGGACCTGAGTTCAAATCTGGTTTCAGGCATCTACTACCTGTGTGACCCTGGGCAAGTCACTTAACCTTGTTTGCCTCAATTTCCTCATCTGTAAAATGAACTGGAGAAGGAAATGGCAAACCACTCCAGTATGGGTCATGAAGGTTGGACACGCCTGAACAACAACAAATTGTGCAAGAAGAGTATCTGTCATATTTAAATTGAATGTGTTTTTCCCCAAATTAGAGGAAATGTGCTGTTTTTTCTTTTGCACTAGTCATTTTCTTTAATTTAGAGAGCTAAAATCACTACAACTAGATTTATCTTAGAAATAGCACATGTCTTTCCTGTGAAACATCATACTGTTTCTGTGAAAAACTATTACTAATCCTTGGAAATGAAAAAACAAAAACAAAACAGAATATTGAAGGAACTCAGGGTGACTTTGTACACATTTCTGTGCTCATGTCTCTGAGCAGAGATTGTGAAATCAAATGGTGATGGTTTACATCAGTCTAGCAGGACTGTTGCCCCTATAAAGAATTACCCACAGGAACAAAATCATGGAATCACAATTTGAGGAAAGACTACAGATCTGGAGTTTCACATAAACCTTGTTGGAGGGCAATAAAATCATAAACTTTCTCTTTCCAATCTAATCCAATAAACATTTATTAAGTACCTAGTATGTGCTAGATACTGTGCTAAGCATTGGGGATGCAATAAAAAAAACACTCCTTGCCCTCAAGGAGCTTATAATTAAATGGAGGCGGGCAAGACAGCACACAAAAGGAAGCAGGAGAGGTGGCGTGGAGGGCTGGGGGGAAGTACCCTGATCTTGTTAGCTTAAAACCTAACTTAGGTGAATCTAAGTTTCTACTCTTGATAAAGAAAGGCATTGGGAGGAGTTTGGTACTCCATTCTCCAGCCTTCCACTGTGAGGGGAGATGAGGCTGAGGAAGGTGGTATCAGTCAAACTTTAAGTTATTATCATGGTGATGAGTTTAGGGGTGAGGGAAATCTTGTTTCCTGGAGTTGAAACCTCCCGCCGCCCCCCCCCCCCCCCCCCCCCCCCCCGCAGAGCAGCAGATGCAGGGTAGTTCCTTTCCGATGTTTACTTTAGTCTCTCGCACTTAATATCTGCTCTAGTGCTCCTCAGATTCTGTCCCACAGGTGGAACCTTTACTTTAAACAGACCGGTTTTGAAGTTCTCCTGCTAGGAGCTGAGTTCTCTGATCTTACAGGACTGTGGTTCAGGAGAGCATCTGTGTCTGCTGCTGTGACTGTTAACTCTCAAATTGCAAGAATAGCAGACAGTGAAAAGCAAATTTAGCTCAGTACTTTTCCCTCTCCTAAAATTTAGTATTTTGCCTATATTATGCTTGGATAGAATGATTATATATGAGCCAGCAGTGTAATAGGCTTTCCCCCCTCCATTCTTTTTAAATAAGTTGTTTGTTATAACCTTAACATTAATAGTGCCAAAACAATTAAACTTAGCTATTTGTATTATCAAAATCAGCACATAAAATTTCCCTAGTGACAGCTACTCCCTCTGTGTCCCCTTCAAGGTTTTTCTGTTTGTACATTTGTCTGTCCCCTGGACCATTTTTGTTTTGTGTAATTGTAGTTGATATACACTGTCTTCTTCTGTTTTGCATTTTTTGCGTTTTGTATTTTTAAATTTTTTTTGATGCATTTAATTTTTTAGAATTCTTATTGTTTTTGCTTAGAAGCTATGCTTTTTTTTTTTTTTTTTTTTTAAAAGACTGGATCTTCCTATTTGGCTATCAGGCTGGAAGTGGATTTGAGACCATTACTGTTTAGCATGGGAGCTTTGACATGCTCTGTTTCCAACCTGAACCAGTTCACTCTTCCTTAGGCAACCTGGTGTCCCCTAACCCTCAATCCTAGTGGCTTGCCATGTTAATGCCAAAATCAATGTGTATACCTGATTGGTTTAGCCCACTATTTCTCAGAATACCTAAAATCAAGAGACAGATGAAAGCTGGGAATTACAGGCATGTGCTACCACCTCCAGCCATATTTTTTTCCTTTTCTTTTTGTTAATTCTTCACTTATTTTCAAGGTGGCTCTTAGATAGTTGAAGAATATGGTTGCTAGACCTTCTTTATCTACTAAACAAAAACTTATTTTTTTTTTTTTGGTTTTAAACAAACTTAACATAACTTTCTGAGAATGCTGAGCTATGTCTCATTCTAGCTAGTCCTTGAAGAGAACTTCAGTAAAAATGGAGGCAGCATCAGTATCCTCAAAATCAGTGTTGGGGTGGGGAGGAGAATATTTACTATTTTAAATAGTTGCTCTTCTCTTGTTCAAGTTGATTTTTTTTAAAAATAGAAGAAGAGGGGCAGCTAGGTGGCACAGTGGATAGAGCACCAGCCCTGGAGTCAGGAGGACCTGAGTTCAAATCCTTTATATTGATCAGGGAAAAAAAAATTCATACATGAAGATCTCATAACCAAGAAGGGACTATTGAATTTAAGTAAGGTTTTGAAAGTGATTTCAGTGGATCCCAGAGGTTTGCATCCTCACATCAAGGAATTATACTTACTAGATATGTGACCCTGAGCAATTCACTTAACTCCAGTAGCCTCCAAAAAAAGAAAAAAAGAGGAGGAGGAAGTAGGAAGAAGAAGGGCCAGGTAATGAAGTGCTTTAAATGCCAAATTGGGAAATTTGGAGACACTGAAGCTCAATGATCAAAAAGGAAGGGAAGTGGTGACAGGGTCAACCCTACACTGTAGAAAAATGACCTTGGTAACTGATTGAAGAACCAATGGAAATAGACTTGAGTCATAGAGATCAACTAGGTTTGTGGCTGTATGAGTGAAGGAAAAAGGATGTATATGAGTGATGTGAAGATAGAAACAATAAGACACAGCAGAGGATTGGATATGTGGAGTTGAGAATGAGGGCTAGAGGATGACACCGAGGTTTCAAGCCTGCATTTCTAGGAGGGTGGTGGTGTAATCAGCAGTAAGTAAATCTAGAAAAAAGGAGATTTTAGAGGCAAGGTAATGAGTTCTGTTTTGGACATAATGAGTTGGAGATGCCTGGCAGGACATCCAGTTGGAAATTTCTAAGAAGCAGGTGGTGCAGGACTGTGACTCAGTAGAGAGAACAGAACTTGATACATACAATTTATTATCAGCGTAGAGATGATAATTGAACCCACGAGAGTTGATAAGATCACCAAGTGAGTAATCCCGTGAAATGAGATAAGGGACCAGGACAGAGCCTTGGAGGACACCTATGCTTAGTCAGTGTGTCCTGGGTGAAACAACCAGCAAGGGAGACAGAAATAGCAATAAAGACATGATAGGAGGACAACCAGGAGATAGTAGTGCCATGAAAATCCGGAATGGAGAAAATATTCAGGAAGAGAAGGTGATCTAGAGCGCCAACAAGTTATGAAGACCGATAATTGAGAAAAGGCCATTAGATTTGTCAGTTAAGAGCTCTCTGATAACTTCGGAGAGCATAGTTTCAGGGGAATGATGGTTTGGGAAGTCAGCTTGCAGAAGGTTTTGAATGGAATAAGAGAAGAATAAAGGGGAGGTACCAAGTGTAGACTGATTTCCCAAGGAGTTTAACCTGAAGGGGAGGAGAATATGGAACAATAGCTATTGGAGATGGTAGGATAAAGTGATTTTTTTTAAGATACAGAAATAAATGGGCATATTTGTAGGTAGTAAGGAAAGAGTGAGTGCGTATGTGTGTGTGTGTGTAGATAGCAAGGAAGGAGTGTGTATATTTATATGTATACATACATATATCTATATGTATATCTACAAAGA